TTGAGGTTGCTGTGAGCTAGGCTGACGCCACGGCACTCACTCGAGCCTGGGCGACAGAGTGAGACTCTGTCTCAAAAAAAAAAAAGAAAAAAAGAGACAAACAAAACCCCCTGTGGGTCTCTGTCTCTCAGGCCATTTCCTAGCTGGCCCCGACCCTTCTGTGAACAGACCTGTCCCTCTGATCCTGCGGTTTCCGACAGTAGGTGACCATTTGCAATGGCCTTCGAGGTGCAGTGCCCCTGCTCCAGGCAGTTGGCGGCACCGTCAGGGGTCGTGGTTCAGGGTGAGTGACAACTGTGGTTTGTGCTCCCCCTTCCCGCACGCTTACCCGTAGGAGTTTTTCTGGGGGGGGGCAGTCGCAGGTGTCCTCCCTTCGTACCGCTTTTGCCGGCGAAGTCCTTGCTGAGCTGGCCTTGCCAGGTCGCTCTGTTCCTCTTTGGAACGGCCCAGCGGCCCGTGTGGACTTTTCAGGCTGCCGCTGAGGCCTGGTGCCCGGAGGTGTTCTGAGGAGTCCGGATCCTCCTCCCTCGAGAGCGTGCTGGGGCTTGGGTGTCAGCCGAGGCGGCGCTCGCTGGTGGGCAGTACAGCGCAGCCCCTTGCAGCCCGACCGCTGCGCTGTTTCCGATTCTGGCTGAGTTCTGCCGTCCCGGCGGTCCTCTCCAGCGATGCAGACGGGTGGGTAGAAGTGGAAAGCCAGGGTGCTGGTTGGCCCCTTGGATGCGATGCCAACCTGCGATACTGATGTGTTTTCCTGGAACCTGAAGCAGAAGTGGGTGATACAGGAGGGGAGAGGCGAGGGCAGCATCGTCGCGGGCGCGTGGTGTTCTCGGCAGCACCCTGCCCCGCGGCCTGTCCCTCCGACGGCCGCCTCGCCTTGGAGCGAGCCCTGTGTTCTCACCGTGGTGCCGTCGCGAGACTCTCCTGTCCTCTGCCGGACTCATCGTTTAATCAGCTGCGCACTGCTGGCCCGCACGAATTACCAGGTTCTGAACCTGCCAGTTTACACTGAGTGAGTGGCAGGCCATGTTTTAAGACGCCTTTGGTGCTGCCCCAGGGGCCTGTGTAGCAGCAGTAATTGTTTCTAAGAAAGTAGAGGTGAGTTTTAAGTTAAGGTTTTGAGAATTTCCAGTGACAGAACTTGAAGTTAAAAGTAGCCTGAAATATTTTTCTTTTCCATAAATTTTTTTTTTATAAATAGTTCTAAGGCCTCTTTTTTTAAGAGAGAGGTTAAATATTTATTTTTGAATATGAAAAATATCAAATAGTCCTTAAAGCATATGTGCCCTTCTTGGATTATTTATTTTTCTAATGTACACGCTGAAAATAGAGTAAGTCAGCAGATTTATGCTTCTGCAGTTTACTCTGATTTGGGTTTCTTGAGGGAAGTGTTTTAAACTTCTTGGTCTTAAATTATGCTTGTTAATAAGTGTATTTTTGGAATCCTGGCTTCCTGGATTTAGAGGGCTGTGGATCAGCTCCTCTGCATCCCTGGTCCGCGTGCCTGAGCAGTGCCCAACGCCTGCGGTTTGGGCTCCCGCCTCCCCTGCCTTCAGCCTCGGTGGCCTCCCGCGGCTGTTGGTCTCTACTTTGGGGCCGTCAGAACAAGCGAGAGCTCTTCCATGTGACCATCCTTTAAACCTTCAAACTGCTCTCCTCCCTTTCCTGGAGCAAACATCCCTGGTCACGAGCCGTTCTCTCCCTGGTCTCTGGGGCCGCCGGCGTTTCCTTTCTCCTGGTTTAGATGTTCGTTTAGGTTACTCTTAAGGTATTATGGCAGGCAGGAAATCCAGCAGGCTCGGCGTGGTCTGACTGCTGGAGAACTGAACAGAATATTAACGTGTCCTGTTTAGAGACGCTCCTTCTGTCACTGCGGCCCGGGATACGTGCGCAGCCACAGAAACCCGCGTCATCGACGTGGTACTGAACATACTGGTAACTAACCTTTCTCAGGTCTCCCCCCGACCTTGTTTCTGCTCAGCCCCTCCTCCTCGCTGTGTGTATACAGTTGACCTTGGAGTCGTGAGTCTAGACTCTCACTGCCTTCATCCCCTAGTCGAATTAGTCTGTCCCATTTGTCTCTTGCGGGTGCCTCAGTACTTGCTGGATCTTGTCTTTCGTCCGACGTATCTGCCGTCCAGCTCCTAGCTGAGTGTCAGCTGCAGATGCGGAGACCGCAGCTGCTCTGTCTGTGCTCCTTGACCACACGCATTGCTGTGGCGTCATCTTGTAGTCGGGAGGTAGAAACATGCGGAGAAGAACCGACTCACAGAACGGGAAGTCAGCTGTTGAGCAGGTGAAGTGGGCGTGTGCTGGAACTGGGGTTCCGGGGTTTTCAGTGGGCGTGTCCAGGTGTACAGAGAACATCGCTACGGGGGCGCCCCTGAGACGGCAAGTTTTGCGCAGAAGTTAGAGATACGTCTCAGAGACTTCTCCTCCCACCTGTGTTTGGATGATGTTTCTGTAAAATGAGTAGTGTAGAAACCCACCGAAAGAGGAAGGAAATGACCATCGTCACCTCCCTTAGGGGCTTTATAGACTAACCCTGGAAGGATGAAAACCACTGCATTTTCTGTAATTATTCTGCAGTGTGACTGCCACGTCTGTAAACGTATATGAACAGAATATAAGTACTTTATTGCTGTAATAGTAATAAAATAATAAATTATCTGTGTTTTCAGATTCTATGGCGTATGTTATGTGGTAATATGAATTTTAGAATAAAAAATTGATAATAGAATAATGCTGGATAATATATAAAGTCTTTCTTATTGAGATTAAAAATAATTTATGCCAGGGATACATCGCTGTTAACATTAGGAGGAGGATGAGTTTGTGCTTGCTTGAGCGATTGCATCCTTTTGTTGGTAGAATCTTTTTTCGCCTCCTCCCCCTTACAGGTGGCGCACTGCAGGATAACAGAATGAAATTTTGCAGGGCTGCATGCCCCTCTCTGAGGACCGCAGCCTTTTTCTTTCGCTTTCAGGCTACTTTGTATCCACAGCTCAAGTTTCTAGGTCAGAGTGTTGGAGCTGTTTGCTCACCAGGCAGTCTTCAATTCAAATGAAGTTTATAACCTTTTTGATTAACTCAGAGTTTCAGAGTAGCTCGGGCATAATGTTCTTGACCATAAAGGGCAAGTGTCCTTTCTTTGGCAGGTGAAGGGAAAGCGATGTGATAAAGTGCACGGAGCTGGCGTGTGCGCGCACATGCGTGCGTGTGCGCGCATGCCGATGGATGCTTAATTCAGGGAAGCGAGGGTGGTGAGCAGAAGCGCTGTGTTCCTTCTGTTGCTGGTTTGCATAGAAAATAGCCAGCTAAGATAATGACCGAGAAGAAAATTATAATGACTTAGTGCTTGAATATGGTGACTGTTAGACGCAACCGACACGGTAATGTCACCATTCACCGGTGTCTCGTGTAGGCGTGGCGAGAGTCTACATTTAGAGGCTGTCCAGAGTCTACCTAGGAGTCGGCCAAAGTAACTGTCAGAGACTATTTTCGTAAGAGCTCACCTGGCTAGTGTTCATAGTGAAAATGAATGGGAAACAAAATAGCTCTTAAAGTTTACATTTTCTTAGACCAAAATAAGAGGAAGGGACTATATTCCTGAAAGGTCAAATATGTCAGCTACTTGGCAAATCCTTCCATTTTTTCCACCCTGGATCTGGAAAATCAGAAGCACTGTAATCGTGGTGACCCAGGGCAGGCTTCCCGAGCTTCTGCTTCCACCGGCTTGCTTGGTTAAAGGCTTGCTTGGTTAAAGGCTTGCTTGGTTAAAGGCGTGGCTCCTTAGGTAGTTCGGACATTGTAGCTCCGTATCAGATGCTTTCTCCCGTCCCGGGGCTGTCTCTCCGCTCTGTTGTTTCCTTCGCTGTGCAGAAGCTTTCTAGTTTGAGGTAATCCAGTTTGTCTATTTTTGCCTGGGCTTTTGGACTCAAATCCAAAAATCACTGCCCAGGCCAAGAGTCTGAGAAAGAGGCTGTGTGATGTGGCAGAGACTTGGGTCACGCAGGACACCGGAAGTCACTCAAGTATCTCACGGATGTCAGCGCGTGGGCACCCTGTTATTAGAACTCAGCCTGTGGTTTTCCATCAATGGCCGTAGGGCGAATGTTGGTTAAAATTTCTCTTTATTACTTTTTTAGTGTTCCTGAATAAGGCAACGGGAAATTCAGCACTTTGTGGGCAAGTTCTTAAATTTCTCTGATTCATTTTCATGGTCTGTCAAGTAAGAAATTGGACACGATCTGCCTCACAGTCCATATGTTTCTTTGATTTTCGTCATAAACACTGTGTGATGTAAAAATGATTTTGTCATTTTCACCTGTCGAGCCACTCTGAATGAGGGCAGGAAGAACAATATTGAGGATTTGCTTTTCGACTAATTTGACCGAAGTACCCTATTGTCGTCCCTCTCGTTTGCCTTTTTTTTTTTCTTGTATTTCAGCATATTATGGGGGTACAGATGTTTAGGTTACGTATGTTGCCCTTGGTCCCCCCGCCAAAGTCCGAGTTTCAAATATGTCCATCCTTCGGGTGGTGCGCATTGCACTCCTTGTGCATACAAATACCCGTCCCCTCCTCCTTCCTCCTCGCCTAACATCCAATAGATGTTATTCTTATATGTGCATTTATGTGTTGATTAGTTAATACCAATTTGATGGTGAGCACAAATGGATCCCGTTCTTCTGCTCTTGTGGTGCCCCACTTTGGATAATGGGCTTAAGTTTAATCCAGGAAAGTATAAGAGGTGCTAGATCACTGTCGTTTCTTATGATTGAGTAATATTCCATTGTAAACATACACCAAATTTTGATAATCCACTCATGGATTGACAGGCACTTGGGTTGTTTCCACATTCTTGCAATAGTGAATTGTGCTGCCATAAACATTCGGGTGTAGATGTCCTTATCGTAGAATGTTTTGTGCTCTTTTGGGTAGATGCCTAATAGTGCTATTGCTGGATTGAATGGTATTTCTATTTTTAGCTCTCTGAGGTATCTCCAAATTCTTTTCCACAGAGGTTGCACTAATTTGCAGTCCCACCAGCAGTGTAAAAGTGTTCTTGTCTCTCCACATCCTCGCCAACATTTGTTGTTTTGTGTTTTTTTGATAGAGGCCAATCTCACTGGGGCATTCAAATGTCAGGCTTAAGATGCACAAATGCTCAGCTCGACAAAGCAGCACTTTAAAAAGTTACTGCCACAGGTGTAACTTTTCCTATTAGTAGTTAATATTGTGCTTTTTTCCTGTTGAGTTACCCTGAGCATCACGGTAGCACTCGGACGCAGGGAGCATTCTTGGGAGCTACCGTTACGTGAAAAATGAGCCTTTTCTCCAGAGGGAGGAGGTGCACACAAGGCACACCCTCCGCACCCTTTCCCAGTGACAGCCCAGAGCGTCTTTTTGGACCAGCAGGGTGCACAAAACAGTGCTTTGGGTCCAGTGTTGTCACGTGATCTTTGGAGAAAGGGCGAGGTTTCCGTGTGGCCGAACAAGTGTGGCCCCGGTGCTGCTACCTGGCCCTGGCCCATCGGCCCGTTCTCAGGTGTCCCCTGGTCTAGGCTCCAGGCTGCGTCACCGCAGCCGGGCAGGCGGGCAGAGGGCCGAGGCGGACCCGCTGCTGATGGCGCGCTGCACCCGTCTCCGGGGACCGCGGCCCGGGGTGGCGGCTCTGGTCCGGCTCTGTTGTCCTGTGCCCGGTCTCCGTCACGCAGTGTCACTCTGATTTGCCAGACGTGCCGCCTGACAGAGCCGGGTGCTGCTGGGCGGCCATCCAGATGCTCGGAGCCGCACATGCCTGACACGCAGGCTGGCGGGCGCCCCTCGTGCCTGTGCCCGTCCCGGGGAGCGGTTTCTAATTCGCTGTAATTTATGCGTCCTCGCAGTCCTGAGAGTGCCTGGCCTGTCAGCTGCGCGGAGATGAAGGCTGACAGTTGTCACCCAGGGCCTGAAGGTAGCCTCACGTGATGGCACACTAGACAGACTAATGATGTTCTCCTCTCGCCTCCCCCTCACTCTCCCCCTCCTCACCTCCACGCCACCCCCGCCACGGCCACGCCACCATCACCGCCACGCCACCGCCACGCCACCGCAGGGACGCTCCGGACGCAGGCCCGGCCAGGAGACTTCGTCTGTGTCGAGTGCGGGAAGAGCTTTCACCAGCCCGGCCACCTCAGGGCCCACATGCGGGCGCACACAGGTACCCCCCGCCCGTGTCCCCACGGGGAGCCTGGGGAGAGGGGGCTCCATGTCCGTGGCTTGATTGCCCACAGCTGTGGACACGTTTAGATTTTTTAGCCCGTGCCGGGTGAGGCCAGGCCACCACCTCCAGGACTATATACCAGCCTCCCCCATTCAACACCTGAAAGGGTTTTGTGAGTTTTTTTGGTATCCAAGTGTCGTGTGGTTTAATTCGAGATAAGCCTGTTTGCAAATGTTCCATTTTAATTAGTAACCGACTCCTCAGAAATGAATATGCTAATGAGTTGTATTGCCACCAGCACAAACTGAAATCAAAGCACCCCCTCCAGCATAACATACGGTTGGTTTTATTTCCTCGTTGGCACTGACTGGACTCTGTGGGGCGTACCTGGACCCCCTTTGGCCCGGGCAGTGATGCACTGCAGACCCCGGAGCCGTTCTGGAAGGGGCTTGCTGGGGACCCGTCAGGCAGGCACCACAGGGGCTCTAGAGAGGCAGGGAGACGAGGTTCTTCATCAGAAGTGCGAAGGCTGCGTGCGCAAGCCGGTCTGATACAGAGTGACACGGGCCAAATGGTAAGTAATGCAGGAAGCGGGTCCCTTTACACACATGCCGGTAATTAATGTTGTCAGTGATGGCTTTCTTCAGCCACGAAGTCTGAATTAAAAAGGGCAGTGGCCCCAGGCAGCCATTATCACAGTCTCTTACTGTAAGTGTTACGGTAAATTGGTATTTTCCGGCCACAGGCTAGGCGCTGGTGTCTTTTTTTGTGAAAGTGCTTAATCTGTAATGGACTTCGTTTAATGTGCGCCTCGTGGAGAAGCTCACACGCTCGTCTGTTAACAAACCCCTTGTTCCCACAGTGGTGTTTGAGTCGGACGCAGCCCGGGGTTCTGAAGTCCACACCACCTCCGCAGATGCCCCCAAACAAGTAGGTCTCACGATTAATTGGATGTCTGGGTTTGGCCGTGGCAGCCGGGAAAAGTTGCACCATGGTGCTCATCACTAAAGCACCAGATTTTTTTTTTTTTTTTGCTAGATGTGTAAATAATTTTACGTTGCTTGGCTTCAGAGCCTGACCCTCCAGGGCAGTCTGTAGGTGACTGCTGTGCGTCGAAGGTCACCTTGGCTGTGAAGGACACACTTTAGGTGCAGACAGCTGGTTGCTGGTGACATTGGGAACGAGGGGATTAGTAGAGATTGATTGGTGGTGACATAAAACAGTAGAAATTCCTGCTTTTTTCCAAGATGCTTTTGGGTATAAGTTTGCTTGAGAACAAATTGTGTTTAGCCTCCTTTAAGAACATTAGTTTTGAATGACTCCGTAAGAAATGTTTCACGTTCGTTGTGGTGTTTCATGGCAGTGTGCTTTGTTCCTCTGCATCACAAACGCGACCGGCGTGGCCACGGTGCATAAAAGCACCTGTGTGCATGTGTGTATGACGTGTGTCACCACGCAGGTGACTTGCATGCACGAGCCATGCAGCAGACGGGGCGTGCAGAACGCCGGCCTGTGGCGCGGTTCCGAGTAATGTCTCGGAGGCGCCTCACCTCGCAGGCGGGCTCTCCCGTTGTCCTGGGCTAAGAACACATGGTGTTTATTGCTCTTCTCTCTTTTTGTCTCTCCTAGAGAATGTCACGCCCACCCTCTTGTTCTCACACAAGCATTCTCTACATAATTTTCCAACCAGTTGCCGCACAAGATTCTGTAACTGCAAAATCTCCCCTAGGTCAGTGAAGGAAGAGTCTCTGGCAGTGGAGTAAATGCCCCACGTCCTGTCTGGGTGGTCGAATCAAGTTAGCACGCCCCGCCTTGCAGACCTTGCTGTCTGTCGGATTCCTGGTTGTGGATGACGGTGGAGGTGATTAAGACCTCCGAGGACTCCCTGGCGTCCCTGTGGTCTAGTGAGGCTCCAAAGACACTTGAAAATCATTCTCGTTTATTTCACTGGAGGAAAGAGAGAGGAGACATGGAATGGCTTTGCCAAGGGCCTGCTGCCCATCGGTGATTGAGCTGCGTGTAAAATTGACATTACCCAATCAAGAGTTTTGTGTATTTTTTTTTACTGCATTTTTGAAATTGCTGTCAGAATTTCTATTTTTGCTAAAGGCCTTTTTACTCCTATCTCATTGACAGAATGCCTTGTCATTTATTATAGTTTTTTAGTAAGTGGCTTCTGTCTCTCTTAAAAGAAACCCATAGTTTTAGAATATAAAAGGTATTTCACGATGCTATGACAATTTATGAAATAAATATAACATCTTGCCAAATAGTGAATTAAAAGATTTCCAAATGCGTGTGACCTCAGTTCAAGTTAGGCAGCACTGTCCTTTTTAACAGAAATAAAACCCCCTTGCCGCAAGAGCCCCTGCGATGTGTCTGTGGGGTGTAGTAACAGCAGGCCCTGCCGTGACTGAGAGGTACGTATGAGATCACAGCTGGACGGAAGCCAGGGTGTTCCTGCTCACGCAGGTGACCCGTGAGATCCATCCGAGACCTGGCTTTTTGGGAAAGAGTGTTTGCCAAGGGCGGGAAGCGCTAGGCCGTGAACAGCGTGGTGAGATTCTCCAGGAACACACGTCAGTTTATTTGCTGACTATTACTGCTGTCTAAGCCTCCTTATGATGCTTGTCATGGGGAGACGTAGGAGATCAAAAAAGCAGATCACTAAGAAATAATTTTAATTTATTTCTGTGTTACTTCTCGGTGATGCTGGGAATTCGTAATTGTTACTCATCCTTGATTCTGATACAGAAAAGATGTATTTATGTGGTTGACTTTGTCTCTGGAAACTAAAATGCTGTGATTCCACACTTAATAACCAGCTAGCCTCTCAGTTTCCGGTTTGTGGTAACTCAGTGTCGTGGTCTTAGTTCATGCGGGTGTCAGGCCTAACACAATGTTAACTCCTGGTGCAGAGATCTCAGTGGATCCACTTTCCTTTCGTTTGGACGGCACTGGGGGTTCAGGCCACAGCGTGGAAACCGAGCTAGGCTCGTGTGCTCTCTTGGTGTAGCAGCTAGTTTGCCTGATTGTGTGTTTGAGATCCTGGCCTTTGATAGGACCTTCTGTCCCGCAGTACATCTGAAGTAGCTTTGGTTGATGTATCGCTGAAGGTTCTGGTTCTCTAAGGAAATTCCATTTTCTTTAACATTCTTTGGAACTATATCTTTAAGAATCCCCACGGAGATTTGTTGGCCAGAACAATCGAAAGCACATCACTAATAGGTAGAGGTTTAAATCTTAGGGTTCTTTTTTCTTCTCCTGTACTTCTCATTGTTTGCAAAAAATCATAACTACAGTGTTAAAGTTAGGATGTGTTACAGACTCACAGAGCAATTTTCCGTAGTTATTTATGTCTAGAATTGACTCATACTTACCAGCCATGTTCTTTTTCGTGTCCAGAGTGCTTTACTAACATTAATTAATGTTTAAATCAGGTTCTTTTCCTGTGGGCTTTAGAAGCTGTGGTTCGTGGCTTTTTCTTTATTTTGATCAGACAACACTGTGTACTCGTGCAGAAATTATTTGATGTGACAGTTGAAGATGATGGACTTCTACAGATGTACGTAATAGATGCTCCATTATCTAATTGAGGCAGTATTTGGAAATTTGGAAATTCAGTTTCATAATCATTTATTCACTTATTAACAATACTTATCGAGCACCCTCCGTGTGCCAGGCCCTGTGGAGGATATTAAGAGACAACATAAATATTTATCCCGTGTCCTTGGTTCTGAAGGTCCCGGGGTGGTGGAGGCAAGGCGATAGGGTGGGGCGGGGTGGCGCTGGGACTTGGCGAGGGCCCGTAAGCAGACTTGGGCGCTTGGACGTCTGTGCTCGGGACAGAGGGATGGATGTTCCCGGGAGGAAGCTCAGCGCGTGGGAAGACCCAGAGTGGGCGAGCGGGTGCATCAGAGGGACCGTGTGGTCATCAGCCTGGCTGGGGGACGGAGCGTGAGCGGGTGGGCAGGGGCCGGAGCTTGGGTCTGGAGACACAGGCGGATTTCGTCCAGAGGGCAGAGGAGGGCCCTGAGCAGGGTGACTTCCTCAGCATCACATCGTCAGAAAGACCATCAGAGTGGCTCCCGCTGGGGATGCATCTTGGTGGCTCCAGGTCAGGGCTGAAGGTCCCTGGGAGGCGCTTGGCTTGATCCCGGTGAGACAAGGTGGCCCGAGCTGGGCTGGAGGAGAGCCGCGGATCTGAGCGGGGTTTGGGAGGAGGCGGGACAGGGATTGGGCGTGGGAAGGGCGGGGAGGGGAGGAACTGAGTAGACCCAGGCCTGGCTTAGGGCTCCGGCCCCAGGGCCGATCCATTCCGTGAGCCCAGAAGGAGGAGCAGAATCAAACCATTTTCAGATGAAATTCAAGTATGTTTGAGATGCCTCTTGGAAAGCCAAGTAGGAGTGTCCAGTGGGCAGGTGACTGTGTGGGTTTAAAGTGGAGAGGAAAGATCGTGGGGGAGAAAGTGTGTATTTAACAGCCGTCAACGTTTCAACCCATTCGAAGTCCGCTAATCCTGCTCTGAGAGACCTGAACGATGTCAATCGTTAGTACGTTGGGCTGTTGAGTGGACGGCTGCAACTTTGATTGGGCGTGTTTACTTACCCCGAGTCTCCTCGTCTGTGAAACAGCGACAGTAGCGTTGCAGATTTTGTGTCTCAGGTGTGCACGCTGGCAGACGCGCCACGCCTGACACAGAGCATAGGAGCGAGCTGCTGCCAGTTACCCTGGAGACGGGCAGTTGTCCTGAGTGACGAGAGCAAGGTCACGCACAGCGTGAGCACGTGGGTGCTGCGGACACGTGAGCACACACACACACACGTTTATGCTCATGTGGACATGGTAGATCACGCTGTGGGTCAAAGCTCAGCGGCTTCTTTTCTTTACTCGGTGTCTTGTGGCTTCTGTGGAGCCTGCCCGTGTGCAGCTGTCGTCTTGTTTTGTTTAAGCGGCTAGTTGTTAGTCGATTCAGGAAATCTGTTGGTCTGAGAAAGACGTTGTCAGCAGAGCCGTAGTTACCCCGTTCGCTGCACTCTCTCCAGGAGACCTGTGGGCGGTGGACGGACATCACCGGCTTTTGTATGTGGAACCATAGCACGACTGCCCTGACTCTGTCATAGTAACATTTGAATTTTCTATACTAGAAAATTCTAAGCGATCGTAATATTGCCAGGTCTCTCAGTTAAGCAGTTCAGCAGGCATGAGGTCCAGGAGTATCTGCCGAGATGGATTTAATTCATTGTAGGGCACATTTCTCAGCAGCACACAGATGAACTTGGAGGAGAAATAAACTGATTTCCTTTTGCCTTGTTGCTAGTGGCAGCCTTTTCGGCACAGCCTCTTCGGTGTGACAGGCGCGTACTTCAGGAGACCCCACAAGGCCTTGCAACAGCCCAGTGGTCACGCGGTCATTTCTCGAGGGACGCAGTCCCTTTACAGGTAGTGAGAGTGGAGACTGTAGCTGAAGCCTCAGACGTTAGAGAGCCGGGTTAAATAATATGGTTTCTGGTAGGTAGGTAGGTAGGTAGGTGCGCTCACGGCATCTAATCTCTGAGCATCTCGTTCTTTCACGTCGATCGCAAGCAAACTAGAAAACCTTAAAAGGATTCAGCCATCCTCGGAGCATCCAGCTGAGGGTGATTCTTCCAAACAGGAGGGAACAAAGGTGCTTGTCACTGCTGCTTATTGTACCGTGGCTTAAGACAAGAGCTAATATTTCAAACCGAGTTCTAAATGAGGGGAGGAGCTCATGTATATTGTCATTTTTAAGAGGCTTTGTCATATGTTATATTTAGCACAACTGAATGTTTAGTTTCTAGTAATCATCCATTTTATCATTAGAATACTTTTTGACAGTAATATGTTGAAATATGGGTGTTACTGTTCTATGGATATCAGAGAAAAAACTAAGAAGTTTGTTTAGTGTTGTGGAGAAATAGTGTTTTTCTATTATATCATTACTAAACATTAGAATTTAAAACAATTTTGAAACCAAGAAAAATTATCCCCCACCCCCAACTGGTTTTGGGATCGAAAAGACCAGACCAAGTGCTGAAATATGAAATCTGGTGTTTTGCTTTGTTTGGACTTCTTGCCAAAATTTAAAGACTATGATTAATAGTTTATTTTTTATTATTCTAAATGTTATTTTAAAAGAGTTAAGCTGGAGAAATAATTCCATTAATCAAAATAACAGGAAGTGAAAAAATAATGGCAACCTAATTTATCTCATTTTTAGCTATGGATGTTACAGTTCAAATGATGGAGAAATCACGTAGGTTGGTGTATTTGAATATATGTATAATCTATTTTTAGTATCACCTTTAGATTCTCGGCATCGCAGATCAAATTTTGAAATTCAGCTCATTTGTTTAAGCCTTTCTTATTCATGAAACCAAACAGGCATCCTAAAACATGCTGTCCGTTTTCTCTAAGTAAACTGTGCTAAGCAAAGTCATGAATAGCGCTGCTGCCTTATCCACAATGACCACAGTCACGTAAGCCCTGTGGATTACGGCTCAGTGGGTGAGGGGCGTCGTCAATAAGGTGCCGCGTGTGATTGGTCTTAGGCATTTAGCGTCAAGCCTTGCTCCCTAGGCAGACCTCGATTTGAAGACCGCGAGGTTCCCGCGAGCAGGTAGGCTTTTTTGCGTACGTGCCGTCGATCCACGCCCGTCACGACACACACATTCCCTTTCCTTATAAAGCAAAATGGGGAAAAAAGTAGACCTCATAAAGTTCCAGAAGTCAGCATCCATCCCTGAACACTGAAATACCTTTAAGAAAGATAGTATTTCTTTCTGCGTTTTACTGAAAAGCCCACAACTCACAGCCGCGAAAAAGGAAAGCCACGTTTTCTAAAAGCAGGCTTCTGATTTTTTGATCACTCTTTTCCTTGTGGGAGGAAAAAGCAAGTTGGATGTGCTCAATGTCACAGTGTGTCCACCGATTGTAAGTATTTCTGCAACTCCCTTCTTCCGTATTTCATGCATTTCTTAAGAACCTTGAAGGGCTGCTGTTTTGAATAATAAAATGGTGCCTCCAATGAATCAATAATTTACAACAGCTCTTAAAAACGGAGGTATTTGAACATATCTCTTCAATAATGAGAAAATAAGCATCTGTGCATCTGGAATTAGGAACACAATATAACTTGTGGTTTGGGTTATCTAGACTTTGCAGTGCTTCCACAAAATTAATATTTTTAAAACTTTCGGCCAGGTGCAGTGGCTCATGCCTGTTATCCAGCACTTTGAGAGGCTGAGATGGGAGGATCACTTGAGGCCAGGGGTTCGAGACCAGCCTGGGCAACATAGTGAGACCTTGTCTCCACAAAAACTAATAATAAAAAAGAATCAGCCGGGCATGGTGGCATGCATCTGTAGTTCTAGCTGCTCGAGAGGCTGAGGTGGGAGGACGCTTGAGCCCAAGAGTTCAAGGTTATGGTGAACTATGATCGCACCACTGCACTCCAACCTGGGTGACAGAGGAAGACCCTGTCTCAGACAAAACAAAGCAAACAACTACCTGAGCCCTGCATTTTAAAACTTTAGACCTTTTTGGGGAGAGAGCCATCTTCTTGTCACCTCTGGAACGGTCCGTTGGTACTCACCTCCTGTCCTTTTCACTCTGTCCGAGGCACCTTAGTGAAGAGATACCAGAGTAGACATAGCCCGGGGATGCGGTCTGTGCAGAGCCAGACACATACACGTGTTCACTGACATTCTCCGACCACTTCTCAGGGTCCCTGGTGTGTGTTTGTCACATGGAGACATTCAAGGCCACACACCCAGCAGCTAACAGAAACTGCCATTTTCCTCTCGGTAAACACGAACACCACTTACCTTCCCGAACGTGTTCAGCGCTGGTTCCGGGGAGCCCTGTCAAAGACGAATTCCTCCCATCAGAACCCTGGCGATCCCTCCGTGGCCTGATGGGCCAGTGCAAAATGTAAAACACCTTTCTCCATTTACTGCAGGAACTTCGCCAGCCACTTAAGCAAGTTTTATCACACCTCTCATTCGGTTACTGTTTCCTACATTTCAAATAAACTGCCACCTACACCACTGCGCCCACCCCCAACCCCTCATGAAATTTCGTGGAATAATTCCTGACTTCCACCCGATGTCGACCGGTAGATGTCAGAAATGCAGGGCCAGCTTTACATGGGAGTTTTCTGGAACTATTAACTGAAGAGAAGCACTTAATTCAGTATGTCAGCCAGACCTTTTCCCCCCATTATTTCTAGGGCTCCTGTAGGCATAGCTGGAAACCAGTTAGAATTTTACATGAGTCCTGTAGTGTATGCATGTTAATTTCAAGCACTTGGTTTCACTTCATCAAGATTGTAGCTGAAGGTTAATGCAGTTAAGTAAGATTAATCTCGCCATGTTGTTCTTGTGCTCGGATGGTGAACGCCATTGTTCAAACAGCGATGCTTCGAATGCCATTGCCGAGCATCCTCTGCAGGCTGCCGGCTCACATTTATCCCGTTTTTATCTTGCAGTTCGCTTGACTTCAGAATATTCCTTCTCTTTTGCCAACATGGTCATTATTTATGGAAATTGGTGAAAGCGCTCTCAAGTTCTGACAGACCTCTGTGAGAGCGTCGCTTTTCTTTTTGTCTGTACGGCCCCAAATCCAGCCTTGTTTTGGAACTATCATTCACTTGTAAATCTGTTTTGTACTACAGAATGCTGCTTTTTGGAATCCTTCCCTAATCCCATCCTGCCATCTTTCACCCTTTCCCCAGAGCTGGTTCAGACACTGTTGTTTGCTGTTCTTACACGTGAAACAGAGAAGCCCGGTGATCCTTTCTTAAATCACTGGAAACGATTTTTTAAAGCTGCCTCTCTGTAAGGCACCAAGGCAAATGTAAACGACTTCATGCTCGGATAAAACGAGTTACAGCTAAAGGCGGGGGATCCTTGCCTCCTTGGCGAGTTTGCTCTGTGAAGGTCATTGTTTGTGTTCTTGGGTGTTGATTAGAAAACTAATAGGAAAAAATGCATTTAGAAACCAAAAGACAGAAATGAGCTTTTCTGTTGTTTCTTTTTTCTCACCCAGGGGAGAGACCATTCTAACACAGGTACCGTCCAGACAGTGCCTCTTGGAAAGGGACCCTAAAGGCGTGCTTCCAGCGCCCCCGGGCACCTCGCGATGTTCCCTCAGCCTCCCGCTAGTGACCGCGAGCACCCGTGGAAGAACAGCCGGGGGACCCCCGACCAGACACCTCAAACCCTGGAGCCGCTGTGCTGGAGTGGAGACTGCAGGGAGATGCTCTCCTTGTTGGACATTTAAGAATAAATGAAGATGCTATACTCTAGAGTGACATGTAGATACTCTGTACACGTATGTGTGCTCACCGACCATAGTCCTGTCCTTTCTTATGCTAAACAGTGGCACTGGCACACTGTAGGGACGCCAGGCATCTGTCTTGTTGAAGACAAGTTTGAGACACTGGAAAAAGATACTTGTGTGTGTTGGACAGAGTGGAGAAGGTAAGCACTGTGGCAGGAGCCTCTGCCGCGCCGGGACTCCGGAGGTGATGTCCGAGCAGACGGCGGTGGCTCGAGGTTGATAAAGTGTTAATACTACTGCCTCTCCTTGTCTTAGTGGTATTTAAAATAGTGAATAAAAGAGAAGAAGGAGGAGGCGTTCAGGTGCTGTGGAAATCAGGCCTGGTGGCGTGGGAGCCGGGGGCAAGACCCCGCTACCCCCCGGCTCCGTGGCATTACCCCGCGGGGCCGTCTGCACTTCCCGTGCTCGCTCCGTGTCCCCGCCACGTGTCCCGAGGGGTCCGGCAAAGGAAGCACGTCTGTGGGGATGCGTGTGCTCTGCTTTGGAAAAGAGCGCTAGTTAACACTAAGAACAGCAGGCGGCTTTGTGTATTCTCAGGACCTTTTTGTAACAGGGCTACATTCTGCAAACTGCTCGCGAGGGAAGACGACGTGTCTTCACACATTACTCAGCCACTGAGTCCTCCGGATTCGGACCTGTTTTAGCGATGGCAGAAGGATCCCGGAGCAGATCGGGGGGGGCCCTAGATCACTGGGGTACTGATGCTCTGGAAGCTTCTGTCTTCTCCCCCATCTCTCCCCCTGCACCCCCCCAGCAAGTAGGTGTCTTTTCTCGTTGGGCCTGGTGACCTCCACAGGACGAGTAACTTCGTCCACGGAGGGTGGGGGTCCCCAGGCCTGTGGGTGGGGCGGCTTTATATACCTCTTCCTTAGTAACGCAGATGCAAGTCTCTGCGGTGGGGGTTAGGCCCATAACAGGGGATCTTAAACCACGCAGTGTACGCAGTTTAAATTGTATTCCACAGATATAAATATTTTCTTTTCCTGTTGCCGTGACACTGTGTGTGACGGTGATATTTCTGAGAGTTTCAGACTTTTGCACATATGATTTTATGCATTATCAAAAGTTACTGCTGCCTTGAATGAAAATGTTCTGTGAAAGTTTTTGCAAAAGCTTTACTAGGTTTTTTTTTAATTGTGAAATTTTGTAAAGGCAGGAAATGGATTAAAACGAGCATGCTAAATATATTTTCCAAAAAAAGCAATAATTTTACATGTACAGAAATTATCCTAACCTTTAATACTGGTGAGAGCGACAGTTTACTTAATACAGTAATGGATTAGTACAGTTTTTGTAGAAAATGGGCTTCTGATACGAGACTTGTTTAAACACACACACACACAAACCCTGAAGTGTGGTTTCCTTGTTCTAATTATTATATTATTATTATTATTGTTGTTATTGTTATTAGTTAATGTTTGGTTCTGGATTCTACTTGTTACTGAGTTTAAATTACTTGACGGTTCAGGTTACTTTGCAACACTTGCAAACAATGCAATGTAACTGGCTAGCTTATACATATATATATTATTATTATTTTTTTTTTCTTATTTTTTTTCCTGATATTCTTACACCAGGTATGTACGAGAATGACCTGTCCTGTTGGTGTAACTGGGAATATCCGGTGCAGATACTATTACGTGACTGTAATGGACTGTTCTGTAAAGTTATTTTGAGCAAAGTTGCAGAGACACATTCCTCTGTCCACCTAAGAAATCAGAGTATCTTTCTGTTGATTTATGTGGGATCATTTCAGTAGTTTCCCCAAAGTGGTAATTTCTGCATTTCCTGGCTTTTATTTTCTTGGCTGCGAGTAAATGGTGGCAGTGAGGAACGTGCAGGACCAGTGGTTCGGTCCCGTCTGTTTCTCTGTGTTTTAGTTATTAAAGAGACATTCTGTACCCAAAGCGACACAAAGGCGTAGTCTACATTTTTACCGTTCCAGACGCGGCACGGGAAGGCGCGGCTGGCACTCACGGCTGGAAGCGTCTTTCTTGCCGGCGAGTCTCCTCCCGGAGGGTCTGGCGGGGCGGGGCGGGGCGACCGGGTCCGCTGGCGGCGCGCACGCCGAGTCCGGCCTCCAGGACGGCAGCGGCGGAGGACGGTCAGCTTGAATACTGACGTGCTGCGCAGACTGCAGAAACGGGGTTTTCACTTAGTCAGACTCGAGGGGACCCTCCAGAATGCCACCCCCCGAGACCCGCCGTGTGCGGGCCGCAGACGTGGGTCCTTCCTTTCACTGCTCGTCAGTATTGTATTGGTTTGTTAATTCGTTTGTGTCAGTCTGACCATAGTATTTAATATGATTTGTGTTTTCTTATTTATTTAGCCAGTATGTTTGGATTCGCTTTTTTCGAATGATAATTCCCGCATGACCCACTTCTGTACGTCGCCTTCTGACTGTTACAGACTCTCTACTACCTCTACCGGCCTGCTGTTTCCTTGTTTCCTAACAGGATTTTTACAGTGTTGCGTCTAATGTAACTTAGACAATAAAGGGTTTGGTTGTCTACACTGCAGCTTCTCCGAGTCTCTCCCCTGCTCTGCGCTCACTGCCCGGCTCGCGCCCGGTCCGGCTGTGTCTCTGCCTCCGCACGCTCCCCCTCCTCCCTGCTCACGCCTCTTCCTCATTCCTGAATCCAAATAACACACGGATAATAGCTTCTAAACATCTTTCAGGTTATTCACTTGTACTCCTTAATTTGAAGAATGAACATTTAAATTCTCTGAAAAATGGGATAGTGAGTGTCTTCTCCGGGAAATCGTCCACTGTACCCATCCACAATTTTGCCTGCTCCCTGGAAAGTCTATTATCGTGATCCTAGGTGTGGACACATTTCATCCTTGTCAACACAATACAAATTTTCAAGCCTGGTGAATTTTGTCTTTTTGGTTCTGAAAAGTATTAGATGTTTTAAGTGGTTGCCCCTTAAAAAATATTTACTTATTTTTTTAAACCAAGAAAGACACTGGTTTCCTGAAAATAAGGTGCCCCAGGAAAGGCAGTTGGGCATTAATGTGCAGTCCCTCTGTGAGATAAAGGAGTGTGGGTTTTGTAAGGGACTGTCCCAGGATGCCAAGACGCAGCTGTGCTCTTGGCCACTCTGCACAGCTTGCTGAGAGTATGATCTGAGCACCTCCACGAAGGCACAGGCACGCGTGGGTCCGATAGCCTGATGCTCCTTCAGGATGCAGCACTGAGCGGAGCAAGGGCAAGTCTCATCTCTCTGTGGCCTCTCCGGGGTGGTGGCTCTGGTCGCTCTGTGGTCCTTCCACTGAGAGGTGGAGCGTAGGTTGTGGATGGATGGGAGTGTCTTCCGGACCGCAGACAGTGGGTCCGTGCGTGGCAGACAGGACCTCTGGGCTTTCGTGGCTGGAGACTCCACCAATGTTCCTTCTTTAAGACAAGACAGACAAACAGCCCCCCTCCCCCTGGCCCTCACAGGTTTTGGGAGGTTTCACTACTGTAGAGAAAGCAAGGAAAGACTGCATTCGTATAGCTTTCCTTTCCCACTTCAGAATGTCGGAAGCAGCATACGTTGTTTTACTGCTTTTAACTTTGAGGAGTTCTGTCTGAACAACATGTTATTCATTGAGCAAAAAAAAAAACAAATCACAGTCTAGGATTTCAAGTGACAATGAGGCCTTTGCCACAGTCGAGCGCACTCCGGAGCCCTGTAACGTGACCCGGTGGCACCCGCCCCAGGGAAAATGTTCATTCTTCATCAGCTTTGCTAATTACACTTTGAGGCAGTAAAATGCAAAAGACCATAGAATTTGTATTTCTTTTTTTAAAATACAATTTATAACATTATATTTTGTACTCTTTATATTAGAATTTGTAACTAGATTGATGTATTTAACTCTATTTCTGAAAAAGTAATTCAATGTTTTAGTTGTGTGATAAAAAATATTTAGATAAAACATATTCTATTGGAATTTGAAATAAATAAAAACATCTTGGAGTTCTTGAGATTTGTAAGACATTTTTCCCCAGTGTCAGAGGGTGGCTTACATCGTTTGACAGCACGTCTTGATCTCAGTGGCCACACTTGGACGACATCGTGGTATCAGGAATCGGGGGACAGAGTCGGGCTAGTCTGTGGTTTGCTATGGTTTACTGATAAGACAGCAAAAACTAGCTTAAGGACCATCAGATGTAGTAATGGTTTTAGTTTGAAAAGATAAAATGTATTTTAAAGTTAAAAGACGTAACTATGTTTCTGTTGGCAGAAGAAAAGAAGGGACTAGGTAAGTACTCGAACATGGCTTTCAGAATGTGCGGGGCAGAAAACAGGTGTGAACATCACCGCGGGTCGTTCAGCCACACCTGAGCCCGGCCCCTGCTATAACCACGGAGCCCTGAGGTCATCCCCTTCTACTCTGGGATGGAAAGGCTGTTTTGAAGGATTTTCTGAAAGGTGTATGGGTCGTGCAGACTGCAGCACAGACCTCGTGGAACTCAGGTTCCCGACGCGGTTGAGAGCCTCTTTCTCTCGCTGTCTGGTTCTTACGAGAAAGGCTCGCATCCTGCAACACCAGGTTCCTTAACGGGTAGCTGACATTTAACCTAAAAGCTGATAGCACTTGGGATACGACAGAACAAAACCCCTGGCCCAGATCTCTGTGTGTTTGTCCCCTGATGAGGGAGTCCCCCCAGGTAACGCGTGGGCGGCTGATGTTCCTGTGTTCATGTCCCGGGGTGTTCTACAACCCCGCTCCCTCCTCCACGAGAGCAGCGTTTCATCCTTCCCCATCCCCCTCCTGTTCACCCAGCAGTGAGGACGCGGGGTCCTGCTGCGCGCTGCTGGGGAGGTCCTCCTCGGCTACTGGGGATTGGGTGGAAGACGGCGGTTACCGTGTCTGTAATGTTCCCTGAGTGATGCTGGGCGCAGAAGCTGGGCATCATGCTACACACACACACGCACACGCACACACACACAACTGAATAAAACAAAACAAGTTGGCACATTTACGACAGAACCTTTATTTCCCCTCCGTTGTGCTGTTTGCAAACAACAGTAGTGCATTCCTAATCTTGCTGTTATGTTCTCAGTCTTCCCTTTTTAAAAGGTGAGTATTGTTCAAGGAATTAGTAAAATTACTGAAAGAAAACATGACTGTTCTCTGCCAGCATGACAAGTTCTTGGATGTCTGGTTTCCTCACTGTAAGCTGAGGCACGAGGGCATAGGGTAGCTTCAAGGGAAGGGGAATTCTAGAAATTCTCTGGGAAGCTGGGGAGCATGGGATGGATACACATCCTTCTGCGTGAGTTCCTTTATGAAGAGGAGAAATTTAGTGAAATGAAGGTTACGATGAGGATGCTGTCTTAGTCCTTTCAGGCTGCTACAGCAAAAATACCTTAGACTGGGTAAGTATTTTTTTTGTTGTTGTTGTTGTTTTGAGACAGAGTCTCACTCTTTTGCCCAGGCTAGAGTGAGTGCCGTGGCGTCAGCCTAGCTCACAGCAACCTCAAACTCCTGGGCTCAAGCGATCCTCCTGCCTCAGCCTCCCGAGTAGCTGGGACTACAGGCATGCGCCACCATGCCCGGCAAATTTTTTCTATATATTTTTAGTTGTCTAATTAATTTCTTTCTATTTTTAGTAGAGACGGGGGTCTCGCTCTTGCTCAGGCTGGTCTCGAACTCCTGAGCTCAAACAATCCGCCCGCCTCGGCCTCCCAGAGAGCTAGGATTACAGGCGTGAGCCACCGCGCCCGGCCATGACTGGGTAATTTTTAAACAGCTTATTCATTGCTCACGAATCTGGGGGCGGGAATTCCAAGATCAAGGTTCCAGCAGGTTCGGTGTCTGGCGAGGGCTCTGCTTCATAGATGGCACCTTCTTGTGGCATCCTCACGAGCTCGAAGGGGCAGACAAGCTCTCTCGGGCCTCTGGGCACTGGTCCCATTCATGAATCA